GCATGGTATAAAATTTTAAGAATAAGTTGTTTATTTATAAAAAAAATATCCCTAAAAATAAGTTGTTTATATATAAAATAGTGTTTAAGGGATACTTTTGTTATTTTACATTCTTATTCCGAGATAAATATTTCACGTTCCAACTAAATTGACTTTGAACCAATCACCCTATATTATAATAAGTGAAGAATAATGTGTAATATTTTCGTCCAATTTAAATGTTTTTTAGTATTTTGTCTTAATCTTTTAATTTGTCAAGCAAGGACTACCCAACTAATATGAATTTAAAACTCTAGTTAAATGAAATTTAATGAGTCCTCCATCTACCTTGACAAATTATATGAAGAATTTAAACACTGAATCTTTAAAATGTAAAATTCCAAGGTCAATTTTTATCCTTTTTTTTTACCCCAATGTTTGATTTATATATTTACTTTTAAGGGGAACTTTTCCTATTTATTTTAAGAAAAGAAAAAGTGAAGCACATTACACCTTTTTTCTTATTTTTACTGTATCTCTTTGGTAAACACAATCATACTAGAGGGAAAAATTAGAACAATCTTTTTTTCTTTTTTCCAATATTGTTGCTTTTAATTATCGTGATAGTTAAAAGGAGATAAGTTGTCAATAACTTTAAATTATATCGATATAGATGACAATGAAATGGTAAGTACTTCTTTCGAAATTAGTGATTTCTAATTCGAACATTTGTTTTATTTTATGAAGTCGTTTTTGTTGGAATGTATTTTATCTTTCAATATAGAACACTCGATATCAATTTGAATCTAACTTTTTACATAATTAGCTAGAGATTCGTAATTCGAGCATTAATTATAACTTATGAAGTAGTTTTTATTGAAAAGTTTTTATCTTTTAATGTGAAGTGAAATTTTTCGACACCAATTTCAGTTCAATCAAACCTCAATGTAGGTACCAGACTTCACATAAAATACAAACAAAAAGAAACCCTTTTAACTTATGATATTTCTACAATTATTTTTCAAGTTAAATGTAAGATGGGGAGTAACTTGTAATATATCCAAAAAAAATAAAAAAATTAAGAATGGTAAAATTTCTTTTCAACTTTTCATAGGACCCCATTATAATCAAAAGAAGATTTCAAATCAATGGGACCTAGTTTGAAAACTTTGATTGATTCATCAGAAGAAGAAAATATAATGTTTTGAAGTCAATCAAAGAGACACTATTCTTATACCAAAAGTCCCATCTTTTATAGAAGTAATTAAATGTTACTAACTCTTCCAATATTTAATATTTTTGGTCACCTAATATATTATAGAATCCCCCCCCCCCCCCCAATAAACCCATTATGAAAGATCATTCACTTGACCTTATTTTGGTATTTTGGTCTAGCATATCCCTCAAAATAGGACCTTCGATTCAATGAAAATGGTAAAATATTGAGTTAGTGTAATTATTAGTTACCTTTATGACTTCCATATATAATATAAAATTATTATATGTCGTGAATTAGGTTTTTTTTAATTATTAAAACTAGCTAGTAATATCACGTAATTGGATAGTAGGTTAGTGGGGGATGGAGTGTGATCTTGCTTTGCATAGATCGTTGCATAGCATTAGTACTCATATATGTTGTCGATTGGGTTTTGATGATCACATTATTTTTTTGGTAGACTTTACATTGCTTTATTATTAACTATTATCATCTTTTCATTGTTTTCTTCTTTGTGGAACTTGAGTTCGATATATTTGAGCAATTTGAAACAGTCTTTTTACCTTCACGAAATAGTGATAAATAGTGATGTACACTTTATTCACTCTCTCCATACCCCATGTAGTAGAATTTGCTATCCTCTTTTCATTGTTTCCTTCTTTGTTTACTTGAGTTTGATGCACTCGAGCTAAAAGTCTTTCTGAAACGATCTTTTTATCTCACCAAAGTAATTACGATAAAATATTTGTAAGGTTCAAATTCAAAAAAATTATGCAATGTTCTAATAATTAGCTAGCTAGGATAAATTTTAGGGTTTGATAATTGCAAGTCATAATAGAGACGTTTGAAACTCACATCATATATCTAGGACATGATAACAACGTACTATACGATAAAAATGTTTAGCAAAAAACAATAATATATATACGTACGTCTTAAAGTATTTGTGATAGACAACGTATATAAGTCATGCATTACATGACTAGAGTCGTATTTAAATTACATCTCACCTTTATTTAGGCGTAATACTTTAATTAAAAATGAAAGAAATCTATTTATTTCATTATAATATTTAAAATGTCAAGCTTAAGAAAAATGTGTTTACGTATTTACAAATAAAAATAATGTCATTTTCTGCGGAGGTGAATTCAAATAAACTACTCCTCGACTCTTACAAGCTCCACTCCTGTGTATAACCTACAAATCATAATCGTGAAAGTTATCATAAATACTAGCTCTGTGCATCGAGTTGTCTAATTAATATTTTTTTGTCGATATTTTTCTAATTTGGCCCACCCCACCTCAACAAAGACTTTATCAAAATAAATATAAAAAATTGTCCAACAAAATCCTAAATTAAAGGGAACTCTCTAGCAGAGTGAATAGAGTCTCTGTCAGAAAACAAAATCTCTGTCCTTTTCTTTTATGCATCAAAATCAGTACTTTTATTGACCTTCTAACCTTCCTCCCATAACCCTATTCTTCTAGCTACTCTTTTTCTCATCTCAAATTTAATAATGATTAGACATTTATTCACATAACAATATTTAGGTTTATGAAGAGAAAAAAAAAACACATTCACAATTAAGATTTAGAATTCAAATGAATATTTGTTGAGAGGAGGTTCACTAGTGCTAATTAGTGATCGTGCTTAATCGTATCCAAAAGAAATAAGAGATCATGTACACATCGTTCACTAAATCTTCTTTTTCTAAAACATTTTACTGTGAACTAGTATTAATTTGTAACATTTAATTGTTTAATATTATGTGAAAGACGAGGACATGTCGATTTTCATATGTCTCGGTGCCATACTTCTATAGTTAGAGACTTTAAAATATATATATATATATATATATATATATATTTTACTATGTACTACTAGTACTAATTTGTCACCTTTAATATTATGTACATTACATAAATCAAGTTGCTTGAATTTTACTATGTCCATCTTCAAATTTGCTATACTAAATAAGACAAAATGGAACTATTTGTAGTATGGTTTTAAGAAGTTGAGTCTGAAAACAATCAACAAGCATGTATATGTATATATATATATGTATATATATATTGGAACTATTATCAAAGGGGTAGGTTCTGTAATTAATGCTGGAAAAAGTACTATACATTAATTAGAGTATTATTTAAAGAAACTTAAGAGTAATTTTAGCCTTTCATTTATATGTATAAACCATGTATAATAACGTGGCTTTTCACCTGCTTAGTGCATATCCTGCCATAGATTGCGAAATATCATTTAAAGGAATTTAATTAATTTAGATCTAACATATCGTACGATAGATTGTGAAATATTATTAAGTAGAACTTATTTTGTTTATATCTAACATATTGTACGATAAATGTTATGATTATAGGTGATTGAGACACTCGGTTAGAAACAAACGTAACATCTATTGACTATTTAGCAGTAACAAACTCTTTCCTAGAGTCTTATTTGATTTATAGACTTTGTATTCTATATTTTAGACGTTCATATATAAAGGCTCTTGTTTAAACATTTTAAATTATTTTAGATGTTATCTAGTTAGACGCTTTTAAATAGCTTTTTAGGTATTTATGACCGAGAATAGTATTGATTTATTTCAATTATAGAGTATAATACAAAATGTTTGTTTAGCTAGTAGATTATAAATGGTTCACACAAAGTAGGGTGACAATCATATTTTATTCCAATTAGGGAGCGTGGCAATATTTAATAGAAATGTATCAACAATCTATTAATTAATTTTAAGAAATTTTTATAATTCTATAAGAGTAGGAATAAAATGTATCAATACATACATATTGAATTACATGGAATATATGTGTAAGATATATGAACTATATTTTATATGGTATACCTTTTTATTAGCCAAATATGTATATAGACAACCTCTCCAATTCGTCTTATCGTTCAAAACTCTTTAGGTTAAAACTGATAATACAATATAAAGTGATCATGAATATAAGCGAAATAAAATAAATTTCTTTTTATCGGCCATATACATAAATAATCTGTCTAACTTGCCTTTGATATTGAAACTCTTTAGTTTAAAGTTGATAACATAGTTTATGAAATTGATTTTCATTTCTAGTAAAATATTGAAAAGAAAGTGATAAAAACATGAGATTTTATTTATATATGTTTAGAAGGAAAGCATCAAATCAAAGACTAGCAAAAGGAATAGTGTAAAAAGAGGGGACATGATTTCCTTTTTTGTGGAACAGTGCCAAAGAGCCTTAGTTGTCCATTAATATTTTAGTAGGACCAATCACTCACCTAATCCATAAAATGCCATAACCCCCCATCTCTTCTCCAACATACCCCTACCCCCAACCAAAAATAAAAAATAAAAATTGATTTACTTACACTAATATAATTATTTTCATTTTTTATGTTGGTATTTGATAAAGAAGGTGAAAAAATAAATAAATTTGAAAGTTAAAAGGTTATTATATTTGATGAACTAAAATAAGTAGTAAGTTAAAATATATTATTTGATTTTTCCTCCAAAGTTTAATATATAAATTGAAATTCGATTAAATCTAAATTCGTATTGAAAAGTCTCAGTAAAATGCTCTCATACAAAGACAAATTTGTAGCTAAAGATATTTGAACTTGAGATATTTTTTAACGACGAAAAATACTTATAACTCTATCAAAACCCTTGTCAGTATATTTTACTTTATTAACCTAGAATTATAACAATAATTATATAAAAGGATATATTAAGAGTATTAGTCTATATAACTTAAGTTTCTTTATTAGTGACGTGTTCAAATAATAACGATATATATACCTAGAGTGAAACTTGAAAGAATAAAATATACGTAGATTATAACTTTGAATCATTTCTTCTTTCCTTTTTCCATTTCTTTTTCCTTTTTATTAATCTTTTTCCCCCTTTATTCAATTACCTATCAAGTCATTACTCTCTATAACCCAAACCAAATGGCCCCCTTTCAAAAAGCCTTATCAAACTTTTCAAAACTTTCTACTTCATATGTCTTCATTCTTCTTCTTCTTCTTTCTAACCTTATTTGCCAATAGATTTACATATGTTTTCTTCTTTTTCTAAATTAGCATAGTGATTTAAGTTTCAAGAATGATAAGCTTTTTCAGAAGAAAAATACTTGTCTTATGGATGGCTATTATATTAATCTCTATTTTTGGCCATTTTTGTCATGGTTCAAGAAGCAACTCACAAGTATTCAATACAATAAATAACCAAAGAAACTCTTACAATCATGGCCATTTTTGGAACTTATTGCCAAAAAGAATCCCAATTCCAGCTTCTGGTCCATCAAGAAAACATAATGACATTGGTTTAAAGAGTACTTGGAGATTACCATGAAGATTATTTCAAGAAATTAAATATTGCCAACTTCTTTTTTATTTTTTTGGGTACTACTAATCCTTCTTCTTCTTCTTCTTCTTCTTAATTTCTTGGATGAACACATGTACATTTTTTTGGGTAATTTTAAGATCTTTTTTTTTGTTAATTGACTTAAGGGTATTTTGTGTTAGGTTGGTTTTTTTTTTTGGTCATGGTGACTAGAAGGGATATTAAATGAAAAGGGGAGAAAAAATTAAGAACATTTTTTTGGGTTTCTTGGATCAAAATATAATTGATCATCATCTAGCTAGCTTAGGGGTGGTTGGGGTGGGGGTATTTTGGTCTTTATTAATTAGTATGCTTTGAAAAGCTTTGTGTATGTAATTTATGTATACATAGAAGAGATCATGATAATACAAGATGAAATGACTTTATTTCAAGTTTTATTTGAATGTTTTAATTTTTCTTTGTCTTTGGTATCCTATCTTGTATTTGATATTTGTTTTAGGGTTTGACAAGTTCGATTTTGTATCAATATGTCTCATTATAAATATATATCATAAAAAATGATCCAATTTTCAAAAATTTGAATTCAGAATCTCTGTATAATTAAAAAAGAAAAAATTTATCATTTCACTACGATATTTGGTGATGTTTTTTCATAATTTTTGAGCATGCAAAGATCAACTTCACAAAAGACTTTGGGCAATTAATTACACCAAAATTTTGTGTTGTTTTCTTTTTTTTTTTCACGTCAATTATTTTGAAATAACTTTTTTTTCTTCTAAAATTATACGTTTGTAATAAATAAAATTTATCTTATATTAAATTGACAGTTTTATGCTGATTCGCAAAAATTCCTTCTTTTTTACATATCAAAATTGAATAAGATTAGTTAAATATGATGAATAGACAAATTTTATTTTGATTATCGCTTTATTAGAATCCTCATTCTTTTTATATAACGAAAAATTTAAATTAAAATCAGTCTTAACAACGAGAACATTTATTTATTAAAATAATTAATAAAAATGATTTATTTTATTTTTTTTGTTTTTATGACTAATAATGTCAACAGTAAAAGCTACTAACTCCTATTTATTAAGTCGTACTGATACTGATAATAATATCTAAGGTTATATATATATATAGATACAGCTGCACACGTAAACTATTTATTTATTTAGTACTCATACCGTACTCCATACCAAATTAATATATAATAATTAATGTCATATTTCTATTTTAAAATAATTTTATTTCATTTTAAATATTATTTAAATAATTAAATTTATTTTACTTATTCAGGTGAAAATTATGTTTGCTTCAAATTTTCATGATACCCATTTCATCATGTAAATTTTTTAAAAAATTCTTTTCAATTATTTTTCACGTTATTTAAAAACAGCATTTGACTATAAAAAAATTTCAAAACACTCAAAGTCATATATTCTCTATTTTTCAAAATTTGCTAATAATCATGTCAAACACTCATAGTAAAGATCTAGGTTTAGTGAGTATTTACTATAAAATATAATTTTGTCATATTTTCTTATTTGGATACGTCGATTACTATCTTGAGATATCTGTTATTTTTCACGATACAAATATCGATTACAACTTTGATATTTTATTATTGTTATATTCGATAGTATTTTTACCCTTTTTTGTCAAAAAAAATTTCGTATGTGTATTTGTTCATTAATTATGTGCCAAAAATGATTCTAGATTTGTGTATAATTACACAGGTTCTTTTTCATTACTTTAATCACTACAATGAGCAGTTAAAAGTAAAGTTTCACCGATTTTCTCGAATATAATTAGTATAGGCGTTTGTAATGATTTTAAGACAAATGTGTCCCCATTATTGTTCATGATTTTCCCTACAAAAATTCCTATCATAAAAACCAATACTTTTAGTTTCTTTTATTTATTTATAAAAAAAAAATCACTAAAAGAGTTACACTAATATCAACATGAATTGTGATAGAATGATTGAGATTCCTTTATTTTTAATCAGATGTCTCGAATTTAGATCCTTATAATGAAAAAAATTATGTCAAAAGCACAACCTCCAAAAAAAAGTAGGTCGTGAAATATGTGCATCTGAATTAATTGAACTTCAAAATCGGAGGATCAGAAATTCGAGAAACTAAAAAAGAAAGTTACAATTGAGAAATTATGTACTACTACTTGCTTTTAAAATAAAGCATGGAATCCAAAGTTTGAAGAGAAAAAGTTTAATTAAGGGAATAAGAAAAATGAGGAATTATTGATAATAAAAATTAGAGAATGTAATTGAAAAGCAAATTTCTTGAGAATTTAAAATTAGGTGTTTGTTTATTTTTGTAGTTATAGTATAATCAAATAATGGACCCGGAATTATTGATAAATTAAGTGTATCTGGTTAATGGAATACAAATAAATAAATGTCTTTATCTCACTATATGTATATGATATAACAAGAAATTGTCCATGTAAATTGCATCATGTTTATCTTTTATATCCCTTAAAAAATTATTTTTCGAAAGATATTTCACTTTATTTTATTTGAAAATTAAAAAAAAAGTGAGCTATATATAAATATCAACTTTCCTTTATATATTTATATATATATAGGACTAATAAATATTTTCGTGCGATTAGAATATTTTTATTTTAAATTTATCAAAATAGAATTTTTTTTCAATACGATAATCTTTATGATATCATCGTAACTTATTATTATCACAAACGCTAAGTCTTCATCGTTTAAGTTTTACAAACTTATGATTTATGATGCTTAGTCTTAATTACTTGTTCTTATAAATGTTGTCTTCTATTACGATCTAAAATAAATATAGTTTTACTACTCATTTTTGCTTAGTTTTAACTTGCTTAATACTCTCGGCCTTGTTGATAATTATCACGAATTCATAATTTAAGTTTATGATATGTATTATTCATTTTCAACACATATATTGATCTATATATCGAGCTTTAAAAGCGTGTGTATCATGTAAACTTAAATCATGCTAAACTTGTTAGTCGAGAAGCTTGTTAATCTTAATTGATCTACCCCCTAGCTATATGTATAGTTTATATCCAATGAGGTAGAGTTATTATGATATAATACTTATAGTATCTTTTAAGTAATCCTTTGTAACTTTGCATTTACCAACAAGCAAAACGAATCCTTTTATTACATGCTTTCGGCAAAAGTTAGATTAAAATAATTTTATATTCTGACCAAAAAAAATTAAAATCATTTAAATATTGCAATCCTTAAATCTATGGATTTGTTTCTAAATATGTTTAAGGGGACCCCTCTTGTTTAGGATTATGCTAACATAAATTATTTGACCACTATTTTAAAATACTAATTCCTCAAATATTTTATTGTCATTCATATTATTAAAAAAATGTTTTCCACATTTCAAGGCCAAAAGTAAAATATAAAAAAACTAAAAGTTTCCCTAAATAGCTGAAAAATATTATATTTAATTATGAAACTGCAAATTTTTTATGGGTTCAACAGCTTTTTGAGAAATATATTAATAGTCAATGTGGTTTATATTTTGGTTTTATTTTAGTTGAAATGACAAGTTAGCATAGTCAATGGGCCATTGACTAATTAATCAAGGATTTATAATTAAGTACCTTATCCTTAGTATACATAAATCTATAATTTAATTAAGTTAAACAATTGATCATATTAACATATGGACAAACTTTAGACTAATTGTAATTTAAATTAATCTTTGCTTAGTTTAATCTTCTCTAATTTTAAGCAGTTAATGATTTAAAATATAATTGATTAAATTTAAATTGATCATCTTAATTGACATTTGGATAATAATTTATTCAAGCCGAAAAAGACATATTTGAAGTCGATGTTAAAAAAGAATAGTATACTTAAAATTTGCAATTTTGATATCTTAAAAATAAATTTGGAAGTACTAATAAAAAATTCTAAACCAATAAAATACAAAAACCTTAATTTTTTTTGCTATACTAGACTAAAGTTTTTTATACTCTCTTTTAATTTCCCTAATGATTGTTAATAATTTTGTATAATGACTATAATCAGGATTTCATTATGAGTACACAAAATAACAGAAAGTGAAAATAATAAATTGATACTCCTCAAAATAAGTACCACTAAAATAAAAAAAATATTAAGAAATTTATAAATATAATAGTTTATTAAATTATCTTTATTTAAAAATGTTGAATACAATTAAGAAAATGATGTATATTTTTTAAAATAATATACTAAATTATTTTTATTTGATATGTTGAGATTTGAGAGTTTAGATTGGTACCTGTGACCTAACAGTAATTTTGTTTTCATTGTCAATTTTCTTTAATGAGTTTTATTAATCATAATTAATTATTTGACCCATGTGCATTTTATGTCACATGAATGCTTGATTTAATTAATCAGAAAAAGTGGAAAACAAAAGATGTTCTTACATCAAATTATTTTTGAAATTCCTAATGAATATTATTGCTGGCGGCAGGAGTTTTAAATATTTTAATATTACAATTTCGTAATTTATTTTAGCACAAAATTTAAAAATTATCTAAAAAAATTTATAATATATAAAAATTATTTTAAAAATTGTATAACTTTACACAATGTTTGCTAAATGAAAAAATATGTAATTAATTTTTAACCGACTGAAAAAGAAATAGATCGGATAAATTGAAATAAAAAAAACATATTGTATTAATTTTTAAGGAGATGATTAATTATATCCATCTAATTAATCTTGTAAAAGTTCCATTTTTATATGCACTTTAAACCACACATTTAATTGTCTGGATTATAGTTAGACTCCAACCAAGCAAATACAAACTCATTGCTAATGTCAAATCAAATATGTCACAAATCACAAAATTATACATCAAATGCCAACTAAATTAAATCCAATTCAATCAAATCAAATACTTAATGACTTTACAATTTTTACATCAAATCAACCAAATACCTCATTTCACTTCAATCCAAAAAGATTTATTCAATGCCAAAGAATCATGTCGTCCCTCCCTTGATTAGAGTTCTCGAATTCGACCTTTGAGTAAGAAATATCTTTGATATGAAGTGTTTTTTCCTTAATGTGATCCTACACAACTCAAATTCAAATTAGCTGACTATAATGCAAGTATAAGACACCAGACTAGATCGCTATGAAGCGTTTTTCCCTAAATGTGATCCTACACAACTCAAATGCAGATTAGCTGGCTCCAATGCAAGTATAAGACACCAGACTAGATCGATCGTTCAAGTATTTCAAATTGAATAAAGGAAGCGAGACATATAGATCAAGTATATTGAATTGAGGGAATGGGATTCCTGTGTACCTCGAATTCAGATTAGTCGGACTCAAATGCGAGTATCAGACACCGAATATTCAACCTCTTGTTTCAATATGGGCTCTCTATTATGTGGGCCAAGATTTGACAGGTG